CACCAATGAAGGAAGGCGTTCCCTAAATTGGGAGCCGTGATGGAGGATTCCCTCTCATGGATGGAAACCTGGCATATTCTGGAGACCGGAACGAGCTTTCTGTGCCAAAACCAGAACCCTAGACTCAAACCTGTCAGTTGCTGTGTGCAGATTGTAGATCAGGCGTGATGTTACAGCAGCAGCTCTTGCCTGCCAACCAGCTAGCTGCTGCATTTTGGGTCACGTGCAGTTTCTGGGTCATCTTCAAAGGCAGCCTTACATGGAGTGCATTGCAATGGTCTAACTGAATTGATGAGGGCCTGGGTCATTTATTTGTGGGTTTCTGCCCATTTTTCCAGCTTGTCAAGATCCTCTGTCCTCTTGATACAGTCCTCTATTGTGTTTGCTGTGCCCTCCACTCCCTCATCTTTGTGCAGCCTGTAGATTCTAACTCCTTGCCAGCCCATTTACAAATAAATGGACAACACATAATGCCCTCCAGCTTGATGTGGAGGCACTGATGTATGTTGTGTGCAGCTGTCCAGCCTGCTCTGTATGTGTTTTATGGCAGCAAAGACCTGGCTCACATTTTGCCATTTACTCCGCTCTAGAATCTCATGGGAGCCATTCAACAGTGGAACAGGCTTCCTTGGGTGGTGGTAGATTCCCCTTTGCTGGAAGTGTATAAACAGAGAGTAGATGGCTCTCTGTTGCAGGTGCTGCAGTAGTGAATTCCTGCACGGGGGTTAAATGATCTCCAGGGTCTTTAAAATCCTTACGTTCTGTGACCCTTAAGTTTCTTATTCACTTGAAGTTAAAACTTCTGATGGATAGCTGCTGTTAAGATATCAATGTTGATTTTTTGATGTTTGCATAAAAGGGCAAATTCAGTACACAAAAAATGTTCACTTTAAGATTGGTGCTCTTAGTTCCGCTGTGGAGAGGAAGAAGAGGAGGGACTGCAGCTGCCAGCTGTATCCTGTGTGTCGCTGTCCTGGCTGAGGGAGCTTCAGGGGACATACAAGGAAGCCAGTTCCTCAAAGTGGGCGCCAGCTGGGTAGATGAACACGAAGAGCAAGCAGAAGCGTGGCAGGAGGGCTCAAGGGGAGCACTTTTGTTCGTTGCCTGTTAACTTGAGGAACATGTAGGTAGGGGAACTGCTTTTGTTAGTTGCAGGGGATGCGCTTTGCTTGTTACCTTTCCTGGAGCCCAAAGAACTGCGCATACTGCGAGTGCAAGCTGATCGCCCTCCTAGAACAGAAAGTGAAGGGGTTAAAGGCAATTCTGTCTACCTCTTACCTCGTCAGGGAAGAGAGACAGTTATTTAAGAGGACCCAGGAACACCCGTGGAAAGACAACAATTCCAAAGAGCATCCCAAAAGAGAGAGAATCCAAGCAGAGGGGATGGAAAAGGGGACCCAAAGGCCCAAGCCTGTTTAGGCTTGTATACTCTGGGGCTTCGGAATAGATTCTAGGGCCTCACTGTTCTGGATCCCCGGGTATTGGACAAGAAGAAAGGATCTGGTGGTCTTGATGGATCACGAGCCAGACTTGAGCTAACACTGTGGTGCAAATGCAAACAAGAAAAGTGAATACAATCCTAGACGAGCATTAGATATGTTTAATCCAGAGAAGGGAAGACTGGGGAGATATCATAACCCTCTCTAAGCATTTGAAGGACTGTCTTTGCTCACGGTTCTTCCAGATAACGAGAAGAAACCATGGATTTAAGCTACAAAGAAGCAGAATGCAGTTGGAAACAAAAAGGATTTCCTCCTCGCAGTCTCAGTAGATCGTGGACTATTCTTTATTGAAGGTGTTTAAATTGAGGCCGAGTAGCCATCTTTTGCTAATACTGTGGTGGTGTTGGTCCGCAAAATCTCTTCCAACCCTTACTTTCGGTGATCCTTTAAAATGCTGTGAAAACATGACAATTACATTTTGCGGTAGTCAGCTTAACTTTCAGCTCAGGATGAGAGTGGGAAGCACCTTAAAAGTATTTGCTCTGTTTCTGCATATTTTTTCCATGGGTCCTGCAGTGTTCCGGTCTGAAAAAGTAATTACCCTCCAGTTCATTCAACTCGAAGGGGTAACTGGGGCCAGTTGTGCAAGTACTTCATTAAATGATTGGTCTTATTTGGGCCAACCTTGTCCTATATAAATATCACAAATTTTGGCTCCCCATCACATTACAGATTCTAGAGATGGACCATGTCCCAGTCAGAAGAAATTTTTGAAGACCACCATAAAAAAAGTCATGGATGTCTATCATTCTGGAAAAGGATATGTAAGCCTTTTTTAACATCTTACAATGGAGAAGATTTGGGACAATAGTAAATTTGCCTGAGAGTGTCTGTCCCCTCAAAATCATTGCAAGACACAACATGAAATCATTCAAGAAGTCACCAAGATCTCTGGAATAATGTCAGATCTGCAGAGCTCTCTTGCTTGGGCTAAAATTAGTGTTTATAACCCCACCATCAGAAAACCACTGATAGTGGAAGCCGTTGCTCACTAAGAAGAACATGAAGCTATGTTCATATCTTTTACCAAAGAGTACCTGGAGGAACTTCTGTGGGCAGATCAAAATGGAACTTTGGAGGCTGTATTGAGCCTAGTGGAAATCAAACACTGCATTCCACAATAAGCGCTTCATATCAGTTGCCAAGCATGAAGACTGAGGATGCTCAGGACTTGAATGATTTCTCACATTGTTGAAGAAAGTGTGAATCTTGCTTTGTATCGGAGAACTCCACAGTAGTTTCAGGCCATCTGTCCATCTGCTGAGGTACAAATTTATTTATTTATATTTCACATTTTCACCCCCATCTCACTGGAAGCGACTCTGGGCGATTTACTGTAAAAGAATAAATATTAATTTAAATACAGTATAACTATTCCTAGAAATAATAAATATCTTCCAAGATATTGATGATGAAGTAAAATATTAGGCTCCAGGAGCGTCTTCAAGGCACCAGCCACCCCCAGGGCTGGTTATATCTCTTCTCACCCCACACGAGTCAGCAGAACCAGGTCTTCAATTCACTCTAGAAAGCTGGGAGGGTGGGGGCCTGCCTCGCCTCACCTCTAGTGGGAGAATATTCCATAGGGCAGGGGCAACGTCAGAGAAGGCTCTCCTCCTGGCCCCCACCAGTTGACATTCTTTCCCCAACAGGGTCTGCGGCATGCCCTCTCTGCCTGACCAGGTGGGATGGGTTGATGTAATGGGGTGAGATGGTCCCTCAGGTAACCTGGACCCATGCCATGTAGGGCTTTAAAGGTGAGAACATTTGATAACAAATGGGTCCTGCAGCCAGAGAGCGATCCCAAATTTACAAGCAAGACTACAACAGTGATGCAGAAAAAGTCCGTGTTTTGGAATAGTCGTGTCATCCAGCCCTAAACCACAAAGACTCTTCTGGCAGGACCCAAAGCAAGCAGGTCATGCTAGAAACCCTCAAATGTTACTGAGTTCAATTTCTGCACAATATGAATACGAATAGGATTGTTTGCCGATTTCACAAAACTTATGGTTGTAGTTACTGCAATGAAAAGTGGTGCCACCAGCTACTCAGTCAAAGGGGACAATGACGTTCTCAGACTGGTACATTGCTTTTTGTGAGTGACTTTGTTTAAGAATTAAATGAAACAGACACCAAGCTTTGGTACTGTTAATTCAGATTCCCATCATGTACCACATGGGTTTCTGACAACATTCAGTGCCAAAGGTACCCAAGCATGGTTTTTCACAGAACTGTATCATCTGGTGGTAGAACCTCTGATGGATTTAGGAATGTTTCTCTAGAGTGGGTGTCGCTTCCCCAGATCTTGGCAGAGGACTCTTGTTCGGATCTAATCCTTACTACAATTCACCAGAAGTAAAAAAAAATAAAAAGAAGAAATAAACCTCTTCGCCAAGGTTAACAATTAGGAATGTCTAAATAAAAACTGAAGATGAACTGTTTAGCAGTCTGAAATGGTCAGCAGGCTCAGTAACAAAATCTAGATAGTTGTTAGTCCACCGAGAGATTTTCAGTGGGAATGCAAGATAGTAAGAAAAGTTTGAGGTTCTTTGGGAATCTGGCATGGTCATCGTGTTCCATGTTTGAAAATGGAGCCATTTTGAGGAGTTATTTTTATTTTTATTTTTAATTTTGTATTAATGATGTATGTAATGCAAATAAACAAACAAACAAACAAACAAATAAATGATGGTGTGACGTAACAATATGGTGAGACGTAATTTACAGAAACGTACCGGATCGGTCGTCACCCGAGTCAACAAAAAACGTGCTACATTAGATCAGATCAGATCAGATCCAGGACTTGTTGGTGTCCAAAATGCCTTGTGCGTGTGCTTGGGAATTGTAGGTGTGTGTCTGAGAGCAGCGGTGATCGTAGACTCGGAGGGTGTGGTGAGGGAGCTCCTTATTAAGGTACACAACAGTTGTGACTCTAAAAAGCGTGCCGATGCAAGCGTTCGAGGGAATTGTTAATGAATGCAAATCTAAATTTTTGATTTGACTTTAACTGCAAAAAATTGGATGGGACAGAATAATATGCCTGGAGCTTGACAGATGCAGAGCCTGGGTTTAGACCTCTGCAGCCCTCTTGCCCCCTGCCAGTTTTGAGTCTGTTTGGGCATCCGTGGTTGCCAGCGGAAACGCTCTCTTCCCACTCTGGTCAGAGAGCGCTTGTAATCCCATTTCAGTCACCGGCCAGCAAAAGCACTCCTGCGTCTGTCTAGTCGGCTGATTTCGTGCTTTATTTACAGTGTTTATAGTGTAGTTTAATCAGAAAGCTGTTTATGAGTTTGTAACAATTTAATCACGCTAAGGTTTTTTAAAAAGTTGCCTGTGTTAGATTCCTGGTGCGGGATTGGCAGGGCAGCCTCTCCCCTCTCTGCTAAATTAAACTTTTCTCGGGTTATGCTCAGTTAGGCTGAGATCTTCCCGCTTTCCCCAGTGTGCCCAGCATTCTGTATCTCAAGCGGTGAAAGGAATTTCTCTTCTTCTGATTAGGGGGAGTTGGTGACTGCGTCCAAGGCCATCATTGAGAAGGAGTATCAGCCACGAGTTATCGTTAGCACGACTGGACCAAATCCGTTCCACAAGCTCACAGACCGAGAGCTGGAGGAGTATCGCAGAGAAGTAGAAAGGAAACAGAGGCAATCAGAAGGTTTGTGAATTGCATCACCTGTACACCTGTGGTCATGTGGTATCTGGGCACGGGGAATTGGTTGCTGAACACGCTTAGCTGCTTTGGAAGTTTCCTGTGGGCTGACAGTCACCGTACCTGTGAGTTTAGATCGTGCATTTTGTCCAGCCGTGCCATTCTCAGAAAAGTTACCTCTAGTGTATGCTAACCACAGTGCTACAGCCATTCCTTCTTCACTGCATCTGTTTCTGAAGCTTTCTACTTTCCTGTATGAAGAGCATGATGCTTTTACAGCAAAACTGCAGAGGAGAGAAGTGGCTGCATTTTGTTGGCTGGGGCAACCGGACATCAGCTCTTCTGCCCGTTGGGCTTAACTGACTGACGGGGCAGAAGGAGGCCCCGTTTCTTGCTTCTGTTCCACCTGCAGGCATTAAAGGTGGGCCAGGACACTTGTACCTTGGGGCAGAACCTTTGGACTCACTGGAGTTTCTGCACAGCCCTACATACAACCTGTTGCAGTAGCCCTGTTGAGAAGAGCTTGGGCTCCAAAGTCATAGTGAGCTGACCAGCTAAGCTGTTAAAAGGCACATTGTGCCATGATTTTCATTCACACTGGAGCTGGCCTCCAAGGAGGATTTTCCTAATTTTGATTTCCTTTGTTTCACAGTGAGTTTGATTTTTTTTTAAGATGTCAATTGTGATATGTTTTGTAGAAGATTCTGAAGATGGCCGACAGCAGGGAGACAGGAGCTCTCCAGACCAAACTGTTGCTTGTACCCCACCCAGCACTCCAGTAAAACTTGAGGAAGGTATGTGTATGATTGCACCTGAGGGGTTATATTTCCATTCATCGAAACCCTAGAGAAAAGACAAAGGATTTGTTCTTCTCTGTAGAAAGGCAGAGCTAAACAGTGCTAACAGGGATAAAGAAATGGGCACAGGTGCCCCTGGAACAGCCTAGCTGGGGCTCCAGGGCTCTGTTTCTGGCAGAAGTAGAGCCTCCAGAAGGCGTGAGCAGGGCGTGAGGGAGAAGGTTTGCTCTTCCTGTCGGCATATTTGGAGGGCCCACTTAGCTCTCAATTGCCAGGAAGTACAATAATAGCTTTCCAGGGTTTCTTTAAAAAATTGTCCAGCAGCACATCTTAATTAATGTGATGAATACAGTAGCTTGAAGCATCACTTTTTTGTCTGATCCACAAGTTTCATTGTATGATCCCTAGTTCTTGAATTGGGAGAGAAGAACGTGTTCAAACCACACGGATCCAGTTTGTAGGACACTTTTCCATTTTTCCTTTAATTTTGGTGCTAGAAAGGGCGTTAGACTTTGCTTGTGGAAAAGATGCTCGACTTTTTCCTCATTCTGACGGAGCTACCCCTTCTAGTATCACTGTGACAGTCTCCCCTCTTAGTTTTAACCTCCAGAAGCCTTCACAGGTTTTGGAAAGAGCCACACCAGGATGGCTATTGGGAATATGCCGTTGGATTTTTCAGTCCCTTCTTAATCACTCCCAGCTTTGTTTGTGTGTTTGCTTTTCCATTGTGCAAAACACTCTATTAAAATGTCATCCTTTCTGCGTGCAGCCATCTGTGGACCTTCATCCTCCCCGTCTGATTTGCGTGCCAAGATCTAGAGTGCCCAGCTCTTCAGTACCCTGAGGAGCCCATTCCCTTTTCCTATTGATTAAAAAGGCACAGCCTCCAAACCAGGAATTTGAAAGACTGGAGGTATAGATGTGGCAGTTGGGCTCACGGTCAGCAAACCAGCAGCAGATTCACAGGTGGTACCCAAATTGGAGGAAGGAGTGCTTCTGTGTTTCAGGGCTGGATGGTGACTTTGGTGGAGTATTTGGCATAATTCCTCCTGCTTCCACACTGATGTTGCTGAGTCTCTTCAACTTCCATTTTACAAGCTGACTCAGTGAAACAACCACCCCCCCCCAATCAGTGGATGAACATATTCAGTTTAGGTTGTTGGAGTTGTTCACCTTTGATGCAGAAGGCTACAGATCTGGAAGTACCTTTGGTCTTCTCTCTGGAAAGGAAGGTCTCTCCTGCACTTCAGTGGTTTTTGCTTGATAATTAAGTCTATGATGAAGCAATAAGTCTATTTTTTTCTGAAAATATACAGAGCATGTTTTTGACACTATTGAATTATTACACTATCCAGTAAGGTCTGATCTGTTCTTCCTTTCCTCAAATTTTTCATCAGCATAAGGTTTTCTGTGGTAGATATAAAGTATATATTGTATTAGAATTGGCCCCTGAGAAATGATGGGACTAAAACCAGGACATCAAGGATATTGGTGAAATTCTGTTTCTCGTTTATGTCACAGTGTGCATCCTTGCATATTCTTAAGCCTGACATTTTTGGAAATTAGTCCCCAATTCAGAAGAGATTCTAAATTTCTGGTGACTTCTGGGGCACATCCATGTAGTTTTCCTGGCAACAGGAGAGGAGTGGTTTTCTGTTGCCTCCTTTTGAACTGTGTCTTCAGCCTCCAGCCTCCCTCCAGCCGGGGCTGTCCTGGGCCTGATCCAGACCCCAGTCCTGCCACCTAGGGAACGGCTACCAGGTCCACAGGCGGCTTGGGCCGGAGTTCAGAAATG